CAGTAGGGGAGCGAAAGGTTAGACCTTAGAAAGTCAACGAACAACGGTTCTTCTATGTAGGTATGCGTTCCCTCTTCCTTGACTCTCCTAACAGCTAAGTGACTTCGTAACCTTTGCGTAGCGTAGTAGAATGAAGGCTACGCACAGCCGCTCTCTTATCTATTAGCCTAAGCGTCTTCGCTAACTCGCTCTATACTATACAATAACAATACAATTAGTAGGGTATAGTAGGCTAACTCTGCCGCTGACTTCTATTAATCTAATGTAGGGCTAAGTAGCGCCTTTTCCTTTAGGTCCTTAGTAGTAGCGTTGACAAAGAAGAAGGGTGAAAAGACAGCGTATCTTTTCCTCTTGATCTGAGGTACAAAGAGAACTCTTTTTGATGACTTCCACTTATCAATCCCGGCCCGAAAAAGTGACCGACCAGGACCCTATTGATGAATGAAAGAAAGGGTTTATGAGCCCTAGCCCTGTAAGCCCACACCTGTGTAGAGTAGATCGTTCAACACCTGCGGCACAAACCCATTTTTGACTTATTAGTCCTAGTATCATAGGCGACCGAACGGCCGCCCCCTAATTACTAGACCAACCCGCGATAATAATTCCATAAACACCTAGCGAAGATATGGCAAACAAATAAAGTAGCCCTATGTTCGGATCTGACAATACCATCCCATAATCAAAAGGTACAACAGCCTGAGCGACCAGACTTAACATAAATGTAGCCACTGGAGCCATTCTAAAAAGGGAGAAATTAGCACTACTTGGTGAAAGAAGTTCTTTTATCATCAATTTCAAACCATCTGCTAGAGGTTGAAACAATCCGAATGATCCCACTACATCAGGACCCTTTTGACGTTGCACAAAAGCCATTACTTTACGTTCAGCTAGCACTAAAAAGGCTACTCCTAGTAGAAGTTGTAGAATTATTCCAAGTATTTCAGCTGGAACTGCTATGTACGTTTTCGATCTTCTATTCACTGACGATCTGGCCTAGTCGACCCGATCATGATATTTCACTGACGATCTGGCCTGGGCGACCCAATCATGATATTAATGGATCGGACCTTTTCTCGAAAAACACCAGATCTCGAGAAGAGTTGAAGATGGTGCAAGATCGAATCCTCTTATCTTACTTCGAATGGAAGCCCGCCTCACTTGCTTTCTTTACTGCATAAGAGCATAAACGAAGTCAACGGATTTCCTTCTAACTTAACTAGTGGCTGAGAGTAAGCAAGCTACCTTCATTCAACAGATTTGTGGTTGAGTCAATAAGATGCTCTGGGTCGGGAATCTTTTCTCTTCTCTTTTGCATTTCCGCTGCCTGCGTTCTTTTTTGTGTCTGTCCGTATCGCAAAGCTGGTCGACGCCTGCTGTAATGGTTGAAAATGGCCAACCAAGACCCCCTAATAAAGCTTCGATAAAGCAAACGATTCGTTCCGACAACTTCGGACCAGATTCACCCCTTTGAATTAGCCTTACAAAATCGATCGGGCGGGCTGGTTGGGAAGGGGTTCTTAGTGGAGAAAAGAATCGCTGAGAGATAGATTCGACTATTTGGTCAGGACGAATGAGTGGCTGTGCAGCATGCTTCGGAGGAGATTGACCCTAAGAGTCAGACCAGTCAGAAAGGGGAGGCAGGCCCGCTGTCTAGACTGCATCTCGGGAGTTTGAACACCATCCCATTTCAACCAAAAAGACAACCCTGTCAAAGGTATCTAACCTTCCTTCCTTATGAGGGGAAATCCAATTCCGTTTTGTATTTTTTGCATAAAAACCATCCACCGGTAATATATATATAGAAATTCATTTGGAACCCAGTTCTTATGACCATTTTAGAAAAGCGCATACTTGCTCCTCAAAAAAGAACCTCTCCTGTCAGGGAGCCCATTAGATATTTACCTAAACCAGTAGTCCTTGAGCAGATCCCACCTTAGCCCCAAGACGAGTAAATGCTTGAGCTTAAGTGAGAAGGGCCTCCTCCCCCCACTGGGATTTTTCCTCTATCTTCTTTACCGGGGGGGGCCCTCGATCCGGAAGGTATGTCATGGCTACTATCGAGATATACATGGCCGCCTCCCTTGAAAGCTCCTGGTGCTGCGACTATCACCGGTAAGTCGGATCAACATCGGGATTAGAATCCACTGCAAAAGAAACTAAGTCAAACACCTATTTGCTCTGGATCTACTGGCCCGGACGCTTGCTTGAATCTATTCCACCGCAAACAACGGAATATACTACTACTGACTGGATCTTCCTTCTGCTCTCTTGTTATTCTTCTCACCTCTCACTGCCTCAGCTGCTGGGACTGGAACTGATTCCGCATCTGGCACTCTCCATTTCTATGGAGATTTATAGGGCGAGTGTCTAAAGCCTGGGTTATCTCTCATCGAAGAGAAGAATTCATTCCTATTCTTCTTGTTCCGAAGAAACCTAAGCGATTCCTTCTCAACCTGGGCGATGCTACCCCAAGAAGTGCTCCTCTCGATCAATTCCATTCTAATCTTTTACAGAAGAGAAAGTCAAGGAGGAATTGAGAATCAATAGAAAAAGAAGAGAACGAAAGGAGAAAAAGAAAGAAGAGAATTTCTTGAATAAGGTAAAGTAAAGAAAGCAGCTCTCAAGGAATTGACTGAATTTGCGCCTTACCCTTTCATTTTCATTTCCAAATCGAACGTCAAGGAGGAAATAGAAAAAGAAGAAAGAAGAGAACGAAAGGAGAATCAATATCAAAAGAAGAGGAAGGCGAATCGGAATTGAGAATAAATAGGAAAAGGGTGTCGGTTTCGGTGAAGGTGAAGGTGAAGGTTGAACTATCTCTTTGATTTACTTACTCTCCTTATTCTATATTATGTTCTATAGGCTGGCTGCACTCCCTTTGAGGTAAGAACAGTTCCTTTTGATTCAATTGCAAGAAAACAACCCAACCTCTTTTTAGAGTTTGATACGAAGACTAAGCCAAACAGTCTATTTATACGGATTCCTCCAACCAAAATGAAAAAAGAGACTATATATATGACAGAAGCATCACCATCACTCTGTCTGTAGGCTGTTGGATGCCCCTGTCTTCCTGGCAACAAGATCAGATCAAGAATAGCCAACTAGGAAAGCACAGTCAGACTAGTGCCACGCCCAAAGCACCAAGACTGCTTATTCCGCTAAAACAATAAAGAGACAAGACCTCTTATGCCGGAAAAGAAAGTCAAGTGCTAACGTGCAGCTCCCATTCCTACACCAAGAGAAAGCCTAAGAGAAGACAAGACCATGCTACCAGTCCTAGCTGGCACCGAAGCCAAGGGAAATTGAACAAGAGGAATGAAAGAAAGAAGAGCTTAGTCGTATTCAATTCAATGCGGGACGACCCAACCTCCCAGATCCGCATCAGCGAGTGGTGTGACGACGACCAACTTGATTGAAAATCACGATTTGAATATAACTCGGGAAAAGAGAGAACAAGCAGAACTACTTTATTTGTTATATGAGAGGACGGCTGCCACTTCAGTATTACCATTGATTTAGACAATCCCCGATCCTTTCTAGACTAGATAAGGGGTCAGGAGATTCTGATTAGTGTCAAATAGCCCTAGCCTCATTCACTCTCGGTGAAATAGCAGCTACGCCCTTTGGTCCCGAGCGTTTGAACGAATCCCAGTCTCTTGAGCTCTTTATGGCAGCTAGTCTAGATCGATTCCTAATAGGATTGGCTTTCTTTGTTAAGACAGAGTAGAGATTGGAAATTCTAGAGAAAAGCAAGGTTTGTAACCCCCTAACCCAAACCAGGATGCGCCTTTCTCCCTAAGCCTAGAAGCAAGTCAAGCGGTAAGAAAACCCATATCCCTTGTGTGTGAGTGCGTCTTTTTTTTATGATCTCTTTTCTTAGATAGGATAGGTCGGTCAGGGGCAGGTGTCTTCGATATGGGATATCCGAGACTCTTTCTCAAGTGGGTATGAGATATCCGGTATCGATGCGAGATGCGCTTTCCAAACAGGCTATATTGCTTTATCTCTCTATCCTTTCTTTCCGTCCTCTCTGGCTGGGCTCTCGCGTGTCCTGAGTACGATCAGATCAACCAACAACCGGTTTACAGAACAAGGAGTGAAGCAAGGGGCAGGAGATTGATAGAAGAACCCGGCCGAAGCTTGACTAAAAAGGGCTTGTGTTCAACTCCGGGGGTTGGCTGGTTGGAAGGGATTGCTTTCTGCCGTCTGTTTTTCCCTTCGAGATCTTCTCTTAGCAAAGTAGGTTCAAGTCACACTTTTTGCTTGCTACAAGCTGGGCTCAGGGACTGCAGCCAGCCGCTTCCTTCCCTTGTAGTCGTCAGCTCGTTCTTGACAGATCTGATCGGGTGTTCATAATCTGGAGTAAAAGGATTCGAACCTTTGCATCTCGGTACCAAAAACCGATGCCTTACCACTAGGCTATACTCCATACGGCCTTGTTTTGGATGGTAGAACGGGGAGAGGGGGGAAACCGCGAGACCAGCAGCAAGATTCTCTCTTGTTGGACCGACTACAACAAGCTCGCAACTCTAATAGAAAGAAAGGGTAAGCTCTCCTCTCTCTCTTCTATTTGCTTGCAACAATGCTATACCTATCAAAGTTGGCGAACGCTTCTGTAACCTTAGACTCGTTACACTGTTCGACTGAACTCGTTGGCTCCGCATCCATCGAAAGTAGGTTACCTTCATCACCGTCAGCATTTGGTACTCTCTCGATAGCTTCTCTTGTTCACTTCAAGCCTTTGGTGTAATGACCTGACCCGTAAGCCCTGAAGATAGAAAAACATAAAAAAAAAGAAATGGTTGCGGGAAATGACGTTCCCTTTGTAAAGTCGACCTTTTCCTTTTCTAACTAATGTGAGTTGACATGAAATAGATCACGGAAGAAGACGTATCCTATGAATGAATGATTCAATCCCCTCCCACCCACACGGGTTCTTCGATGAATGAATGAGACCGACAGGCGAAGAGGCGCAGGCATGAGACCGATAGGGAGAGGGGCAGGCAATGGAATTGTGAAACGGAGTTTACGAGGTGAGGGAGCGAAGCTGTGAAACCGACAGAGGAGGTGAAGGAATTGTGAGACCTGGAGGGCGAAGAGGCGAAGACAAGAAAACGAGTTTACGAGGTTCAGGAAATGGAATTGTGAAATCGAGTTGGAGAGGTAAAGGCGTTCCCCTTCTTCTTTCTATGTGAGGTAGGGCGTACGTCAGGCAGAACCTATCTCGAACGCAGAGCGCCGGCTCCGACCTTAGATACAGTTACCATGCTTACAGGCTCTGACCATTGCCATAGATATGGGGGGTAGGCGAAGGTAGCTTGCTTCTCTTCTCCTAGGCTACCAGCACATGTGACTCGGGAAGAAAAGGCTGCGAGCGGTTCTTCGCTTTCTTGTTCTCGCCCATCTCTTTTTCTTTATTATTTCCTAGAAAAAAGAAGAAGCTCCTGAATCAGCACAGGGCAAAATCAGCTGTAGGAGAACTGTACTAACCTGCCGACGGTGACTTTCTCAGGGCTCCGTAGGAGAAGAAAGAAGGTCCGGGGCAAATTGATAATGAAGCGAAGGTCCCCCTTACTCCCTATTCTCTCTTAAAGCTTTAGAAAGCTCTAACTAAGATAAAGGGTTGGTTAAGAAAGAACTATTTACTGTAAACCATAGCAGTGACAGTCACTCAATGGAAATGTTCGCCTTTGGAATGAAGATGGATGAGCACTTGAACTTGGAACTAATGAAATTCGGGGGAAAGATGGAACCGGTCACTATACTGGGGGGGCGAGACATGACCGCGACTGAAGATTCAAATACCGTTGAAAAGACCAAAGGAACGGGGGGAATGACTACTTGTAATAAAGCACAGGCTAATAGACAAGAAGAAGCAAGGCTATAAATTACCAGATCCTGGACACAATCTAGCCCCTTGCCTCGCCTTTTCTAGCCTCTCTCTCCTTCTTGCTTGCTTACCTAGCTCTTGTCTTAGTGACTCTTCTTCCTCTTTTCTAGGGTTTCTTCTCGTTAAAACGATCTATTTTGCATTTGCCAATGAATTGTGTAACGACCCGAAAAAAAAAAAAAGAGATAATAAGAATAAGTAAATAATAATTATAAAAATAAAATAAAATAAAAAAGTAAATTATGGACTCTCTCTCTCCACCTTCCCCAAATATCTCCCCAACCCCTCCAACTGCAAAAGGATCTGAAAAAAAACAAGAAAGGAAACAGAAACAAAAATGGCAGATTTTGGGAAGGGAAAAATGGGAGAAAGAAACCTAGGAAAGATCACAGATTTTGGGAGAGAAGAATTGAAGATGGCCTTCACTTCAGGCAGATCTAATAGGAATGGAAAGAGATAGTAAAGTCATCGGTAAGTTAGATCTCATTTTCTTTTATTTTTGCATGAGATAGAAAAGTTATCTTAAATCTCTCTTTCAATTATTTAGACTTTTGGACATGGGATTGAAAATCAAAGTTGGCTGTGTCAATTGCATCTAAGTTGAATCATCATTTTAAGGAAAGAGAAGAAAATCATAATGATGGATGCATAGCCATTTTTACTCAAGGAAAAATTAAAATAGATTGGAAATGGTTAATGACAGTAGTTTTAGGAAAGAAAAGAAAAAATTCAAAATCATTTATTGAATTAATTAGAATCAGATTTCCACCTACATTACCCAGTTATTTAGATTAGAATCAGATTTCCACCTACATTACCCAGTTATTTAGATGTTAATTATCAGTTAGAAATCATGTCAGATCTTTGAATGAGATCATAGATCTTCTCCTCTGTACCATTATTGAGAATTAGATCAACCCTTCATTTACTAAACTGTTAGAATTAAATAGGGAATAAAAGAATTAAATAGGGAAGAAAAGAATTAAACAAGAGGTTTGGAAAAGAATTAAACCGAGAGAGGTTTGAAAAGAATTAAACAGAGAGAGAGGTAAAGAAAAATATATATATATATATATATATATATATATATATATATATATATATATATATATATATTTAATTAAGTACAGAAAAGAAGAAAAGAAAGAGGTAAAGGAAAGGAAATTATATATATTTAACTAATTAAATACAGGAAAGACAAGAGAGACAGTGGGGAGGAAAATGGAAGATTTGGTGAACAGAAACAATTTTACAGAGTAAATACATAGAGTAAAAAAAAAGGATACCAAGATATATATATATGTATTCAATACTCATAAAGTCTTTAATGCTCGCATGAAGTTTAGCACATGAACCATTGTAGGAGTTAGAGAATTAAACATGAAATTGATGTTATGGATTCTTATAGGTTGGCTTGGATACAAAGGGAAAAATCGAACTTTCATTAAGGATAAATTGGTCACACCCGTATAAGCTAACCAGGTTAGTGGCTTTACTATAGAATAGGCTAAAAAAATTGTATGAGTTATGATGATGTATGATGTATGAGTTATGATGACGTGTGGGTTATGATACCTGATGATGTGCTCAGTATATATATATATATATATTGATGAATGTCGTACTTGATATGCTTGATGCACTTTGTGGCAATATGATGAGTATGATGATTGCGTGACGCTTACCTTAATATGATGATGTTTTCCATATTGAGCATACTATATGATGATGAGTGCCATATTGCATCATGTCGTTAGATCGACATAGGACACAACCCTAAGAGCGTGAAAATGATATTAATATAAATATCCACGAGTATGTGTTACCTAGAGTAACAAAGAGATGAGATAAGAGGGTTGTGTCAGAAGAGACATTATGATGGATTTAGAGGGACCTCATGCATATTGTATGTTCATAAGCATAGGGCTACTTCCCCTAGAGATGATGAGTGCGTACGCGCACCACCGCATAAAAAGATTCCTCCTAGAGTAGCAGTTAATACGAATAAAAGAAAGTCTGTTCTAACCATTTCTGTACATTCAATGTACTCTACGGATAGAGGAATACATAGAGTGGAACATATGGAAATTTCCTGAAAAGCTAATCATAGGTTCTTCTCTCTGAAGAATAGGGCCGTTATGCTCATTACTAAACTTGTTGAAGAGATGAAATATAACTAAGGTATCTCTGATAAGAGGTTGAATCGATCATCAAAAGAAGACTGAAGCCAAAAGGATACATTCTGGGAAAATCAAACTTCCATCGAAGAGAAGCAAATGAAAGGCTTTCATCAACTCGTAGAATCGAGAATGAGGTTTTCATTCTGTACATGCCAGATCATGAATTAGTAACTGCATACAATCTCCAAATCCCAATTGTTTCGAACTCTTTTTGGAATAGAATATTTACGGAATCCCCATGAATAGGATCAAACCTTATTCCATGGTATTTACATGAGATTCCTCTTTCTTATTCTTAAGCAAGTCCCCGAGAGGAGAGGGATGAAAGAGCGAGACGAGAAGAGGAGAGGGGTGAAAGAGCTCGACTCGAAGAGGAGAGGGGTGAAAGAGCTCGACTTGAAGAGGAGAGGGCGGGCTTGGCTTAGTTGATCCATGATTTATCTTTCGTCTTTCCTTTCCTTTTCGTTTGTTTCGAGAAATATATCGATCAATTCCGATTCCTTTTCTATTTATTTGTTCTTTTCTGATCGAGATGTATGGATCCATGGGCCTATGTGTCTATATAGATCCTGTTCATGGGGATTAACGAAAATGTGCAAAAGCTCTATTTGCCTCTGCCATTCTATGAGTCTCTTCCTTTTTACTTATGCCATCGCCACTCCCTTTGGCAGCATCCACTAATTCGGAACTGAATTTGAAAGCCATATTTTGACCCGGACGTTTTAGGGATGCCCCTAATAACCAACGAATGGCAAGTGCTTTTCTTTCCTTATGTAGATCCTATTAAAATGGGAACTTGATGATCCGCTTACACGTCTTGCCTTTACTTTACTACTATATCGGGAGTTACTCCACGTATTGCTTGACGTAAAACAGATAGTGGATTTGTTGACAGATAAGTCATCCTTACTCCCACTCTACCTACAGAACCGTACATGAGATTTGAACCTCATATGGTTCCCCTCGTTCAATTCTTTCGAAGTCATTGGATCCTTTGACTATCTGTCCTTTACAGTCGGTAAAAGAAAAGAGATGAATTAGACTGAACAAGAAGGAAAGAAAGAAGAAAGATAAACATTAATGAGACTGAAGAGTAAGGAAAGACGAAAGAGAAAACAAACAAACAAACAAACCTGAACCGGAAGGAAAGACTGATGAAGCAAGAGAAGACTGATTAGACTGATCCTACTTCACTCTTTTACTCGGGTTGAACTATTTTAGTGTCTCTTCTCTTTTCTTGAACTGTAAACTCATTAACCTCTCCCCCCTACTTATTCAGCTTTGCCTTTGACTGATGGAACTCGGTAAAGCCACTAATGAATTTACTCTCTTTCCTCCTTATTCTTGAACGAGGTAAACAGGAGGATCAATCATCAGGTCAAGCTCATGAACCTCTCCCTTCAAACACTAGACTTTACCCTCTCTTTTCTTTCTTGAACTGTAAACTAAGAAATTCAAAGGATGTTCGAGAAGAAGATTAATGAGACAGAACTCCCACCCACCTATTTATGAACTCGGTAAAGCAAGCACTAAGAACAAGAAAGAGAAGCTCAAGCTCATCAACCTATTCTTTATGGTCGAGTTGCTCCGCTCATTCACCTTCTTTGTTTACGAGGAGGTAAATAGAATGAATAGAATAGCTCTTTGATTGACTGAGGTAATGTTAATAAAGGAAAGACGAAAGCAAGACTCAACATTAATGAGAGTGAATTGAATGAATTAGAGAATGAAAGAGTTTACAGTGAGATATAGAGAAGCTCTGAGAGTAACCCAGGATTGGACTCTAATTGAACGAGGTAAACGGGAGGATGTGATTCTGTCACTTACTCGGAGGTAAAGCAGCTTCGTATTGAATGGACTCTCCCTGATTGAACAAGGTAAAGCATATTCTTTCTCCGGAACCTTTTCTTTTCCAATATGACCTGACCTTCTTTCACAGTAAGAAAAGAAGAAGAAACAAGAACCTTTATGACCTGACCTTATTGAACTCGGTAATTTGTAAGTCAAGACTGAACCGACACCCTTCTTTTCCTTCAAACACTCTAAAGCAGCATTCTCCGGAACTGATATTCCCTTATTGAACTTGGTGAAGCGGCTGGATGCTAATCTCCTTTGCCTTTGCCTTGACAGTCTCGCTACTTACTCCTGCACCTGTCCCTTCTTTCACGGTAAACTCCTTCACTCTCTATGGATTGATTCTTTCTCCGGAACCTGAACCGATATTCTTTCACAGTCTAGAAGGGAAACTGGGGGATCAACTCATTCTCCTTTTCCTATTTCTTCTTTCACTAGGTAAACTGAGGATGGAATTGAACAGTAAACTCGGGAAACTGGAGGATGATTCTTTCACAAGGTAAACTCATGAACCTCTTGGTTGAACCCATTGCCTTGCCTGACCTACTGACCGAACCTTCTTTCACTTCAAACTAAGACTCCACGAAAGATTCATTCTAGTCTTGATCCTTCAATCAATCAATCACTTGTCCCTTTTTTCACTCCTACGCCTTTATCAAAGAGAAAGCCTTCCCCTGCATTGGACTGATTTCCCTCTTTGCCTCTACCTGAACTGTAAACAAAGACTCAAGCTCAAACCTTTTCTTTCTTTCTGTAGGTCTCTTTGCTCCTTCACCTATTCTATTTCTTCTTCTTTCTCATTCCCTTCTTTCACCTATTTCTTCTTTATTGTGATCTTTCTTCTTCTTATTCATCAAGTCAAGCCTCAACTTTCATAATGTTCGCTTCAGTAGGATAAAAGAGCAATCCCAATACTAGCTTTCCCGGGCAATGTATATTGTGAAATGGTGGTGCTATAACAAATCCAGAGTACGTTAACTTGCGGTTGCCGCACAAAGAAAGCAGGTCGGTCACCTTAACCAGTCATACCCATTTATGTAGATATTCTCTATCTGAAGCTCAAATGAAAGCCATGAAACAAGTAGCTACTCCTACTGCAATTGCAATTGGTGTCTTCTTTCTTTTAAGCCAGCCCACCAAAGAATTCAAACTCGACTCCCCTCTACCAGAGAATCCATGAATTCTGAGCACCTTCAGTAGCAGCAGGAATGGTAAAGACAAATAACCAGCCAACTATGTATGTATGCCTTCCTCTGATCTTCCTCATGGAATGTGTTCCTCCTTAGAATTACCGGTTAGTGTCTTGGATGAATCTTCTTGAAAGGGGTCGATCAACGCTAGAGGACTCGATGGCTTAATAGTCCAGTGAATAAGCTGATTCAGAGAGATAACCCGGGCTTTAGACACTCGCCCTACTGGAAAGTCGCCTCCCACACTGCCCGCAAAAGGGAAAGCCCTTTATCTACCAGCAGTAGCAGATCCTGTTTAAAGGTTGGGGTCAAAATCTGTCAAAGAATCACTCTTACCCTAAAGATCAGACGAAGGAGAATCACAATCTATGGCGCGCTGTTGACTCTTTAATGGAAGAAAAACGTCTGAGTACGAGATGGTCAGAAAGTCTTAGTGAGATGCATAGTTTAATGCATGTGGCTGGTTGACCGCCGCCCCCCGAAAAAGGTAAACCCCATTGATTGATGGGCGAAGGGGATCTGATTCTCGGTCTGCTTCAGAAAGCTAAAATTCGATCTTGTCTGAAGTAGGATTCCCGAGAAATTCTTCTCTTTCCTTTTGCTCCAGTAAACAACAAAGAAAGAAAGTCAAATACAGATTGAGATGAAGAGAATCCTAGAACAAAATGATCTAGCCAGAATGCCCATCGCACTGATTAGAATGAACGATGAATAAATAGAAAGAAGAAAGAACACAAAATTCTATGGGTTCGAAAGAAGGAAGAAAAATCCGAACAGGCTGATTGCAACAAAGAAAAGGAACGTAGTTTCCTTACGCCTATTTTTGACACACAAAGCAGAAGAATGAATGGCTGACCTTTTGAGTTGAGCAGCCACAATTGAATTAGGATCGGTCTTATGATGAAAAAAACAATGAATTGAATGAGGGGGCCTTGCGCGAATTTGGTTTTGGTTGGTTGGGGTCTTATTTAGTCCTCGCTGTCAGACCCTGCCTTTTGAGAAAATGGAAGAGAAGTTAGTGGCTGAGTTCGAAACCCAATATGCAAAGAAGAAGAAGAAGAAGCTGGGCCGAATGAATCGGATGAACTAGGTTGGAAAGATGTGGTTCCTCAAGGAAGTCCCGGACTCTTTCTGTTGGATTCCGTTGGAAAGAAAATAATGAATCAGGCAATGGAATTCTGAGACCAACAATGAATAGGTGAGAATGAATAAGGAGTGATTACAGGAGAGGAAAAGAGTGAAAGAAGGATTTCATATGCGAGTGAATGAATGAGCTTGACCTTTTTTCTTACAGTTCCAGAAGGTGAAGGAGAAAAGAGCTACAAAATATGCTTTACCGAGTTCAATCAGGGAGAGGGGAAGACAGATAGGATCATCCAGCTTATCTAGCCCTCGAGAAATGAAAGCAAAAATAGGGAGAGGGGTCACACAGCGAGACCCAGTGAAAGAGTGAAAGAAGGAATCTTTCAGATTTACTTACAGTTAAGTCGAATTGATTCTTCGAGAGTATTTACTGTTGAATGAATCTTGAGGAGAAGATCAAGATGAAGAAGGAATCTTGAGGATTGACTGACAGTGAACGATCATTGATTCTTCGATAGGATTGACTTCTACTTCTTAATTACCTCGGCCCAAAATACCTAGTTTTGATCCCTCAAAATAGGGTAAAGATACACTTTTATCCCTCAAAATACGGGGGAGGATAGCTTTTTTCTAGTTTTTTGAGTGTTTACAGTTGAGTTACCGAGGGAAATAGGGTCAAATGGACTCTTTTATCCCTCAAAATACGGGAGGGGGGGGGGATAGAATTTCTTAACTTTCAGCGGCTTTCCTTAGGGAAAAAAGGTCTTTTAATGTTTTACCCCTATGGTGGATACAAAATCTTTTCTTTCCTATGCAGCTATTAGGGAAAAAGGTCTTTTAATGTTTTACCCCTATGCTGGATAGAATTTCTTTTCTTTCAGCTTCAGCTGTTAGGAAAAAACCGATTACGAACTTTTACAGTTATATGGGGATAGAATCAATTTCTTAATGGTCACTCAGAGGGAAAGAAGGTGACGGGGCAGGTTCAGGTCAGGTCATATCGGTTTAGGTTCAGTAGCGTCTTCATTTATTCAAAGACTGTAAACTCTCATTCCATTCATCTTTCGGCTTTCCTCTCCCTTCAAACACTGTTCAGGATCATTAATCTTGCTTTCGTCTCCCTGATTTCCTTCCTGTTCATTCGCTTCTCTTTCTGTAAACTCTCTCTCTCTCTCATTCATCTTTCTTGCTTTCTTTCGTCTTTCCTTGTTTACGAGGTTCAGGCCAAGACAAATTAGCTTTCGTTAGGTTTTTTGTTTGTGTAGGAATATCTTACCCGAGATCAGGAATATAATGAGTTCAGTACTGAGTCTCAAGACTGATTTGAATAGGATCTAATCTGACCCTTTATCCAGATCCGGGAATTCACTGAGGACTAACAATTACATGGATAGAGAGATCGAAGGTAATTTAGCAAAGATTCTTCTTTCTATCTTTTAGCAAAAGCTAGTAAATCATTTCTCGATCTACTTGTAGTTACCAGGTAAAGAAAATGCTAAAGACTTAGGCTAAGCCTATTAAGGTAATCATATCCTTCGGACTCAATCCCCAGAAGAGATCAATCCGATAGCAGCTATAGTCAGCGTCAATATCTCATCAGATGGGTTTTGCCGGTTTCACCTCCTGCTTCTGTTAAGCTAGGATCGGCAATAATAACTCGAGCTACTACTATTTTGTATTTAGACTGACACGTCAGGAAAAAGATAAGCGGGAGACCTACTAGTATCAAATAAGACTAACTAGTCCCGTCCTTTCCTAGAGAACTTGATTATTGATTTGATTGATTTCGTGAGATAGAGAAAGCTAAGTAATCAGTATCTGCAGTAACGGACTATTTCGTTTAGTATGCTTGATTCTCCTCAGGCTGCGCTGGATGCCCGAGAGACCAGCTACAAAGCAATCAGTCTTGCCGCGTTCGTGAAATCAACTCCTGCTTCAGATCACTTTCTAAGACAAAATGAAATTCCTAATTTAGCCCCAGATTCGGAGATTCGTCTTTCTTTCTATTAGCTCGGACTTAAGCTAGCTAACGGTTCGCTTCCATCGAAAGATTGTCTTAGTGGTTAGCCTCAAACAAGAGATGCGTCAGTCTTTCCTGATAAGGAAGTTCTTGGAAAAGATAATCAGATCCCAACACCCCCGGTAATCACTTCAAAAAGCAAGGACAGCCAGTCAGATTCTTTTTCTTTCTCAGATACTAGAAGACCGCTAGCAAGTCTTGATATTCTAATACTGGGCCCGAAAAGCCCGAAAACAGCCTGATCTTCTATCTTTTTATGCGCCCTTAATGCATATAAAAAGAGAAGGAATTCGGTTGGAAGATAAGTTTCAGATAAATAGTTCTATTTTTCCGGTTTTACACTTCGGCTTAAGATTTGAGTAGAGTTGAAAGCAAGTAGTAAGAGTCATATTCTCTTTTGCTAACATCTCCTTAGGCTCTGGCAGCTTCCTCACATCCGAAACCCTTGGAATCACTTCTTAGTCCCATTTCATCTTCGGGAGGAAGGAAGAAATAGTGAAACTGCAGGAGAAATGTAAGTAGTTGACTTTGTTGACATGACCAATTGATTCTATTAACACTCTTTACACCGACCTTAAAGCATCTATCAAGCTAGCAAAGGCACAGTAAGAAAGACAAGACAGTTCGATTAGTAGGTTCAGTTGAAGTTACAGGCTTTCTATCCGAAACCCTTGGAATCACTTCTTAGTCCCATTTTATCTTCGGGAGGAAGGAAGAAATAGTGAAATTGCAGGAGAAATGTAAGTAGTTGACTTTGTTGACATGACCAATTGATTCTATTAACACTCTTTACACCGACCTTAAAGCATCTATCAAGCTAGCAAAGGCACAGTAAGAAAGACAAGACAGTTCGATTAGTAGGTTCAGTTGAAGTTACAGGCTTTCTATCCGAAACCCTTGGAATCACTTCTTAGTCCCATTTTATCTTCGGGAGGAAGGAAGAAATAGTGAAATTGCAGGAGAAATGTAAGTAGTTGACTTTGTTGACATGACCAATTGATTCTATTAACACTCTTTACACCGACCTTAAAGCATCTATCAAGCTAGCAAAGGCACAGTAAGAAAGACAAGACAGTTCGATTAGTAGGTTCAGTTGAAGTTACAGGCTTTCTATCCGAAACCCTTGGAATCACTTCTTAGTCCCATTTTATCTTCGGGAGGAAGGAAGAAATAGTGAAATTGCAGGAGAAATGTAAGTAGTTGACTTTGTTGACATGACCAATTGATTCTATTAACACTCTTTACACCGACCTTAAAGCATCTATCAAGCTAGCAAAGGCACAGTAAGAAAGACAAGACAGTTCGATTAGTAGGTTCAGTTGAAGTTACAGGCTTTCTATCTAGTTAGGATAAAGGCTGATGTAACTCATTCTATCTATTTAGTTAGGAAAGAAGGTAAGGTCAGATTATCCATTATCAACAGATCTTCGCGACTCTTCAAGCTCTAATTCTCCGGGAATAAGTCGAGGATTGAGTGAAAGAAGTATTGGATTTCATTCGCGCCTAGGCTTCTATTCCAAAAGCCCTAAAATCAGCATTGTAGGAAGAGCCTATGCCCTTCTATTATCATCCCACTCCCGTTGGAATCCGTTCTCTTACAATTTCTGGAAGCTAAATGAGTAGGTAGGAAAGCCTGAGATGAATACTTCTATTTCGATTTAGACGTCAGCAGGATTTTCTTGTCCATTGGATTGAGATACTGATAGTAAGTTAGTC